ACAAATCAGATCACGCTGGACTGCAGCCAAGGCTGTCTACTGGGTGGATCTGGACAATCACCATCCTGATTAAAGTATAGATGGTGTTTTCATGTCATTCTGCAGTTCCAATAGCTTCCATTATCACAAGGTGTTTGCTCACTGGCATATGGTGCCCAGACTGAAACGGGCAGTACCCAGGGAGTAAAGTGGTGACAGATGGCGCTTGGGTGGTGGGCTGGCAGAATAGGCCAGCAGGGGCATGAGAAAGCTGGCCCCGCTGTCACAAAATCTCAAACTTTGATCAGGCTACAGAGGAAATTGGGTCCTCGACAGCTTTATAGACAGCAGATTGCAGAAGAGGTGTATAAGACTATAGAATGACTTGTATCCTTCCATATCTCCTCATTATATGAATACATTATTATAGAAATCATTCTCTGTCACACACACACACACACACACACACACACACACACACACACACACATAACCGAGCTTCCTAGAGTAAAAGAACTTAGGGGATTTCTTCTTTTCTTTCTCCAGTCTTTAATTTGTTTTCCACAAAGTCCTACATTGTGAGCTCCTTATTGGGCTCTGAATGGGCCTGATCTAATTCCATCTGTGTTTGACGTGACTATTATACACGTTCTCCAGACAGTGCGATGAGCTCATTTTTAATTTGGATTATTCAAACAGTATGATATGCTGGTATACTCAATCATTATTGCATTTTTGGGGTCTATTTTTATCCCCCATAAGATGTTCTTCAGAAACATGTTTTGTTGTTAAAGGAATACAAAATAAGACACGTGTTTTATCCGATTTGGAGAGGTTTCAGAAAATGGTGGTTTACACAAGGCAGAAACATATTAAGCAAAAGAAAATACAATTTTTAAGTGTCAGTCAAATAAATATACTGTAAGCAGTTACACTATAGCACAAGTGTTTTTTATGTGCTAAAATGAATACACATAATAATATGTAACAATGGAATGCAGACTTTAAATAGTGAAGTGAAATTAAACAAGGTATTTAGGATAAAGGTTGATAATTACATGCACATGAACATTAGATGTTTGACAATAGTTACAGGCATTCTGAGTTATAGGAATTAAAAATAAAATATCAATGGTTTAAAAGATAGGGACATATTACATATTACAAATTATAATTATGGATGAAGATAAAATCATAAAATGTACAATTAATGTTCATTAATTAAAGTTCATTGTTGTTGGAAAATCGTGTGATTTGACAGTATTGTTTCTTCAGGCACTATTTAGTTGTTTTCAAGAAAGAGGCTATACTGTAGCAATATCTGACAAAACAGCTCGACAAAAAGCAAACTAGACTGAGATCCTTTTTTTGTAAAGAGGACAGGACCTCGGAAGACAGGGTTTATTCAGTAATAGATGTTCATACCAAGAATAATGTTGAAAAAACACCAGAGACTTTTGAGATTTCTGCAGGAGCTGCTAGCGTCTGCTCAGACCTTAGAGGATCTCTTATAAAAAAAAAAAAGACTCTTGCCTGTCAGAAAGATATTTGTTTCCTTTACAGATTTTTTTCCCCTTTGTATTTTCTCAAGGCTTTTTACTTCAGCCATGCCACCACATAGATTGTCAGCCTAAGCCTCTTCCTGTTGCTCTCCTGATTTTTGACACCTGTCAGCATTTCCTTAAGCAGATCAAAAGATATTAAACTAAGAATTAATCTTGAATATGTTTACAGCACGAACAGGGAATCTGATTTACTGTTCCTTTGATTTGACAAAAGAAGCGTGGCAAATCACATGCGTTTTCAAGTAGCCATTTATAGTTTAGATGATCAAATAGAGAAGAGGTGGAGAAAAAAGGGGGTTTTGAAATCAATTAGGAGAAGTGTGGCCCTGGTGATTTTGAACACTAATGAGGTGTGGAGAGATAGCTCAGGGCAGTTGAGAAGAAGCACGCCATTGGGAATCCATCAGAGGAAAAAATTTGGGACTGACAATTAAAAAGCCTGGATGTGGCAGGGGAGCAGCTGGCGCTGATTGGGTTTCCGTGAGCGATCCAGCTTTTGTGAAATATGTTGCTTTTGCATTCAAGAAATTCTACAGTAAAACTAAAAGACATTGGGAAAAAAATCACTTTATTGGTTTTGTTTTTTGCTGTTTTCCCATAATTAAACAATTCACCACCTCTATGTTAGATGCGATCAAAAGATCTTTTAACTACTTAGGCATTCCTACCAAAATTATTTTACTACCAATGGAACAGATGGAAATACAAAGCAAATATGGAAGGAATTCATGATATTCCAATAATTTCCAGTACTAATGTGCTTTTAAAATGTCACATCTAATACTTTGTACATTTTATTCTGATTGTATAAAAGGATTAATCTTCTTTTGGAAAGTGTAATAATAATAATAATAATAATAATAATAATAATAATAATAATACAAAAGAGAATAAACAAATTCATTTTAAGCAGTTTAAAATGTTCAGGGGTTGAGCAGAACCTTATCAGCTAGATTAAGGGGCTTTTAATTCTATCAATGCCACATTGGTTAGCAAGTCTAAATTATAATCAGATCTTTCAGTTTATAATGAAAATATGATTGCATTTTGCCTGCCATCTGTTTCTGTGTGCACATGTAAATCTCATAAATTGAATAAATAAATTACCAGACAGGATTCTGTAAGATATAATATGAGGTAGCCTGCTAGACCATATGTCAAATTAACTTGAAAATGAATAAAAAAGTACATACATACATACATACATACATACATACACACACATCCATTCTACATTACAGAAACAGAATGGCATGATTTCTGTGCTTAAAGTCAGTTACATCAACATTATCCAATCATAGGCAACTACAACTGACACTCAACTCATTTTTATTTGTTAACAAAAGTGTTAGTAAATCTTCATTCATGGTTTTTGACATCATAATTAAATTTTATTTTCATCTTGTTTTCATCAATTAAAAAACTTTTGTCAGTTTTCATGAATATGTCTGACACTGCTTGAAAGTCATGTTCTGTGAAATGCAGCCTTAACGGAAAGGGCATGTTTTCAGTGGCCAGTAGGCAATTCTTGATTTATGGGTCTCATAATTTAGTTGAAATTATTAGACTTAACCAAAATGTTAACTTCTGACTTGATTAGCCTACTAAAGACAGACTGTATTGGTAGGCAATAAGTTCTGTTTGACTGTTAGTTTATTTTGGATAAATTTTCTCCATCATGTTTAATAAATATAACAATATTTATTGCAATTTCATAAGTGCAATGTGATTTTTAATTTTTATATATATTGTGCAGCCCTAATTAAAATGGACACCAGTGAAGGGACCTTCAACAGAGATAGCTCATATTAAACAGGATCCATGGCAGTGAAATACTTCACTGTACATTTTTGCAGTTTCTTTGAGGAACTCCCTCTGTAAACAGAAGGCATGTATCCTACCCTAAATCATATGTTACAATATTTAAATTCACCAGGACTGTACATCTCGGAGGACACAGACAATATGCATCTCTAAAAATAAAAATACAGTAATCAACATCTGCATTGCAGAAAAATAAATATGTAGAAACTTGATTTCTGTAAATTGTTTGTGAACATTGACTCTGAAAACAGCATCTCTGTGATTATATTTATATTCATCAATAAAGAGCATGAAGCCTATGCCAGACTGCACAGGTAACAAGGTGGAGAAGCCCCCCCCCCCCATATGAGAGACCTGCCAATCACAGGGGTGCACACATGTCGGGCAAACATATCTTTATGGGGTCCGCTCATTCATTTCTATGGGAAAAATATGACAACCTTAACCCCTACCCAGCCCTAACCATAACCATAAGTAATCAAGCAAAGTACAAGAGTTTTTGCATTTAAATTTTTTCATTGCAGTCACAGATTTTTTATTAAACTGAGTTTTCCCTTATGAAACTGGTCCCCATAAGGGAAATAATGGGTATTCATCACATTGTCGGGACATTGTGTCCCTATAAGGTAAGGTATACCTGCTCACGCGCGCGCGCACACACACACACACACACACACACACTAGGGGTCATGCAGAGACGCCAAGTCAGAGTGTAGGGAAGTCAAGTATGAGAATAGGGCTATCCACTGAGGCATTGCCACATTTATTCACCATTTACTATGACCTACAGTATACATAAATAATGCTATTGGATGCAATTTTTAAAATAACAAAATGATTATAACTGATTTCTTCTCAATAAAGGTAAATGGAAGAAATTCAGTTTCATGATCTGTTGAAAAGTACACTTGGTCTTTTCAGGAAGTACTGCCAGACGGGCATTATTATACTAACTATATGGCATTTCATTAAGTAAGTACTGCCTGCAATAGGTTTCTGTCAACATATCATGATGATCTTAAAAGAAACTTTAAAAACATAAATTTGCTGCCAAAATAAACCTACTGAATAATGAGAGTCCATTCTCATCCTTAAATTCTCTTAATAGATGCCATTTAAACGCACTCTAATTAAGCAGCTGTTGAAACGGCTCCTAAACTCAATAATCTTGAAACAGCCCAGGGTCCTCTGACACCTGAAATAGCCCTGGGGCCTCGGACACCTGAAATAGCCCTGGGGCCTCGGACACCTGAAATAGCCCTGGGGCCTCGGACACCTGAAATAGCCCTGGGGCCTCGGACACCTGAAATAGTCCTGGGGCCTCGGACACCTGAAATAGCCCTGGGGCCTCGGACATCTGAAATAGCCCTGGGGCCTCAAAATCCAACAATAGGTCAGGGGCCTCCTAGCCCTACAATAGGTCAGGGGCCCCTGACACCTGAAATAGCCCTGGGACCTCTGACACAGGCCTCAGATACCTGAAATAGCTCTGATGTCTGCAACACCTGAAGCAGCCCAGGGGCCTCTGACCACATTAATGCGTCTCTGTAGGTGATTTGCAAAGAAAATAGTGAAAATACTAAATAACAATTTTAACGTTAGTGCCTATGTGAAAACCAGAGGTAAGCTTACCTAAAGCCAGCACCTGGCAGCCGCTTGACGGCACAGTTACGTTGAGCATATCGTTGGCGGCAGTGTCTGGATAGAGAGCTCTCTGCACATCATGCTCGCTGTCAGTCTGGTCACTTTCTTCATGACCGCTGTCTTTAAGGCTGTTACCTTCCATGTCCTTGAATGTCGATGTGCTGCAGAGTGACAGGGGAAGCTAATTTACCATAATGGTGAATTCTTGTGTTCCACCATCTCATGCATATTCAGTGGTGTTTCTTTCCTATAAGCAGACTGCATTTGATCATTTCATTGTATGTGGGGATCAATTAACTATTAAGGACAGTGACTGTACTACAACAGGGCATCAGCAGGTCATGGTTATTTTTAAATATTTTATGGTGTTTTGGAAGCAACATAATTACATTGTTTGAGGGGAGCAAGCGTAAGATAGATATGACATGGATGATGTTTAGATAGCTAGATAAAGAGACAGACAGGCATTCAGATAGATATAATTAAGCAGTATTGTTGTTTAGAGATACCTTTGGTACTCAATAAATTTAGCAGGAAATATTAAATAAAATTAAATACATAAAGTAAAATGAGGATTTTTCATTGGAAACCCACCTTTTAATGAGATGTGCTCTACTGTTTACATAGCTGGAGTCGATCGAATAATTCTCTGTCTGTAAAACAGCAATATGACATGTTAATTATCATTCATCTTAATCGCACACATAATCACAAATAGAAATCACTGAAAAGATACCAAAGACAAATCCTACTCATGAGCAAGACAGACCAAACATATTTTTATTAAAATTTTCTCATTTAGTCTTTTGAAACAGCTACAATATTTATATTACAAAAAACTTCTGCTAAAATATCTAATTATGTTTTTCTTTGACTGTTTCTGAAAATATTAATTCAACCACAATATTAATGTCTAGAATTGCTGTATTAGCACCAAAAATTAATAGGATTTCCCCTAGGCCAGCTGCACTCAGTAGTCACTCTATTAGGTGCCCCTATGTAATACATTAACCACTCCGACGGCTGACAAGAAAGGCACTGAAACATCCCTCTCTGCACAACTGAGCTGTTATTTTTGCAATTGTGGCATTCCTGTTCGCTTATACAAGTCCTCCTCTGACTTCTCTCATTAGCAAGGTGTTTCCAGCAATAAAACTGCTGCTGACTGGATGCTTTTTCGTTTATGTTATCATTCTCTATAAACTCTAAATGCTGAAAAATGTGAAAATCCCAGGTGGGCGGCTGTTTCCGAGATCTATGCACCACCAAGCCTTGCCCCAAAAAAGACACCACTTTTAAAATGACTTAACTCATGTGTGTTTGTAATACTTAGCCACACAGACAATGTACCTCTCAACGCGTCCGTCTTTCTGTCTGTCTGTCTTTTCATCAAATGTCCCCATGTCAGTTTACCATTCCTTACTCTGAGCAACCCCTATTTACCGTGTTTGGTCTATCTCTGAAATTTCTTGCCGAGGTTGGCAGCATAGGGTTCCAGTTGTGATACTTTCTTCTTGGTAATCTGATACCCTGAATATGTGCATAAGGGCCTTACGTGTTTCCCTATCATGCCGACACCATCCAGGGCTCTATCAGTGTCCACAGAAGCATCAAGCCATGTCAAATCACAAGGCGCTTTAAAATCTACAAATATTTCCAAACTGCATCCCATTCCGGTATGTCCCTCTGCATGAGCTCTTAGGTTTTAAGTTTCTTTGATCTTCACCTTACATTCAACTGGAACCAAAGCACACAATGACAAGCATCTGTGGTTACGGAAGTCGAACCATCACCTTCACGTCTTTTTCTTGATGTGTTTTGACATTTTCACAAGACATCATATGGTTTTTGTATTCAATTGACAATGGTGGTTTTGACACAGTATCTTGTAACTCATGTAGCTCAGTCCATCAGAAGTCTTTGAAACATTTTTTTTCCCCCACAATGCGGGTTGGATATCCTTGCAGTTTACTGATATAAGATATGAGGTGACTGCCTTTTGGTCATAGAAAGAATACTAAACATTCCATGTTAGTCCTGAGAAGAAAATGTTGACAAAAGCTCTCAGCCACATCGCTTTGTCAAGTGGTTCTGCTCTTGTTCACAATGGAAACATGACTCCGGCTCCGTTGGATACCGGCATACACCGGGAGCAAGGATTTACAATGTATGCTTTTAAAATTGGCTATCACCTTTAAAATGTGAGTATTCCATTCATTTCCCAAAAGCCTATGCAGTTCAGGGTGATAATGAGCGTAGGAACCAGAGGGCACTAGGCTTGGGGATACCCTGGGCAAGATACCCTAAGGACAATACCCTGGGGAATATACCCTAAGGAGGATACCCTGGGGAGGATACTCTGAGGAGGATACCCTGGGCAAGATACCCTGGGGAGCATACCCTGGGCAGGATACCCTAAGGACGATACCCTGGGCAAGATACCCTAAGGAGGATACCCTGGGCAGGACACCCTAAGGAGGATACCCTGGGCAGGACACCCTAAGGAGGATACCCTGGGCAGGACACCCTAAGGAGGATACCCTAGGCAGGACACCCTGGGGATATGCACACTATGGACAATCTAGAGTTTCACTTTACCTAACCTCATGTCTTTGAAATGCTGCATGAAACTGTAACACCCAGATGATGGAAAGAACATGTAAACTCAATACACAGAATGGAGGCAGGATTCAAAGCCGCAATCATGGTGATTGGGCTTCCAAACCACAAATCCTTTGTTTTTGCCTGGGTATATATACTAAACTATAATATGCATTATTCAGACATTATAGGCATAACTCTTTCATCATGCTAGAAATCATTGTAAATATGTTTCCTTACATCCTACAAATGAATAGCAGATATGGTGATTTGAAGAGAATTGGCAGACTGGGAAGTCCGTATCTGTTTCCTTAAGCGGTTTCCTGGCTGTATTCTCCCCTGTCACTACGGCGTTGCTGAATTCCTGCTTTCTAGTGAAGTGAGTGGGCCAAGACAACGCTGTCATTATTTGTAACATATTCCAGCTAGAAAACATGGTTTTGTCAGGAATATACAGTAGGAATATGTTCGTGACTTGCCAGAACACATTATGTTCGCACAGTGCTCCACATGAGCAAAAAACTGAGTCACTTCTTTTCAACTTCCTTCAATGTGCAGTAGTCTGTTACTCTGCGTCATTACATTCAGAAATAGGCATTGCTTTGTATTATGACAATATTTTATATAACGGTCCACCAACAATATCTCATTTGTCATTAAAACTTAATGATTACAGGATGCCTATCGCTTCACATGTTCTGTATTACTCTGGCTGATACTCCTTCTCACTCGTGCATCACTGTGTCGAAATTATCATTTACTGTCGGATATGAATTTGCTATATGAGTAGCGGCTTACACTTAATGCATGAATGTTGCTGACGGCTACCTCTGTGTACATCCGAAACTGGAGCTTGTTTCAGTACTGGCCATACAGTGCTTTCAGCTCAAGACTGGGTATTAGGGCATATTGATCAGGGTGACCAGTGTTTCGTAGGTATTTAAGAACCTGAAGTTTAGTAACCGATGTAAGTAAATATCTGTGATTTCTGTGCATTTGATCGTAGTTGGACAGAAGCAGACAGTTAATTGCTGATTGCTGAAGGGGAGACAGTAATCTGAGGGCTCGATAGGAGCCGGGGGGGGGGGGACTGACGGACTTCTCTGTTGCACATGACTACATTCAGAGGGAAAACTGATCATTTCAGGCAGCTCACCCTGCAACCTGATTTGTCTGCCTTACAGAAGACTGGCCCCATGGCCCTTATGCAGGTGTTTTCTTTGTGATTCTCATATGCGTGTGCATTTACTGAGCATGCATAGGATTTGAGTCTCTTGTCCTCGCAAAACTGTTCAATTTGACAGCGATGCCATATTAAGGTACGTTTAACCTATCCAATAAAAATACATGCAAATAACAATGTGAAGAGACAACAAATAAACAAAGATTAGGTGGCTTCATTCAGCTACTGTTCTGTGGTTAGACAGTGTATCTCCCATCAGAGTAACTTTATATGCACATGCCCTAGTTTAAAACTTCATAACTGAGTAATGGAAAAACTGGGCGAAGACACTGTGATTATACTGGATCCTCGGGTCATAAATAATGTGTATGATGGGTCCTCAAAGCTTCCTGCATCCGGTTCCAGAAAAACCCTGAATAATGCAATGAGATGCGGTTTTGCATATCAAAACAGGCTGAGAAAATAAAAACTTGGTTTTTGCGAAGCATAAATTGGCTTGATTTTCTCTAATCCCCTCGATGTCTAAACCAAAGAGTGCTTACTTCCTATAGGCGGGGGCTCAGAACTCATCGTCTGGATGTTTGGGAAATAAATTTGAGTACCTCATCCCAAATCCCATGGCGTCCGTTTTGTATTACCTGAAGCAGACAGAGAACAATTCCCCAAACAGACACTGAGGTCCTGAGCAAACCCGTAAAATTTAATCTATGCCGGCAGATTACTTGCCTGCTGATTCCCTCAGAAATGATAGCTAAGCTAAAGTTAAAAGGCTAAAGATTTTGCCTCAGCAAAAGTTGCTTTCAAATGCACTTTTCAGCAAAAATGCGAAACTAAAACTGTTATTTTGAAATGAATGTTTATGTGTATGATTATTCAACCCGAACAGCACAAGCAGGCTGCCTATAAACAGCTGCTGAATTTTCAAATTCAGAAAATATAATCTTCACTAAGTCAATGTAAAAATGAAAATGAAATGAAATACATACTATAATAAAGCACTAGGCAGTACTTAAAAAAAGATACGACATGACATGTCACATATTTGCATACAGACTACTCTGAACTTTTTTTTTCCTCTCCTTGTACCTGCATTTTAAAGATTTTCTTACTGCAGATTCAACAACATGATATGTCAAACCAGCCAGCAGTGGCAACAACATCATTTTTAAAGCAATTCTTCTTGTCACGCAGTTTTCTTGGGGCTTTCATGGGGATGTGGTATCTTTTTATGGGTCTTTTCTATGAAGATTTGCAAAATCCCATCACTCAGTCTGAGGAGAAAGCCATCCTGCATAAGCCAATCTCACCAGAAGATGGAATGAGTTGGGCTTGTTATTGACTTATTTTACTACGATTTAAGAAAGTGCATAAGTCAGCACTACCGGTTGCATCACTACCAGTCTAGCAAGTATAAGATGCAGGCAGAACATCATCATCTTTCACTAATCCTGACATGGTGTCGATTTGATTAAACAAATTGCATTCACACTGAGTCTTGGCTGGTGAAACATCACAGACACTCTGATGCAATTACAACACCCATAGCCCACATCCCTCAGGTAAACTTAAGAGAAAGTTTCAATCTGTTCCTAGAATCGGAAACTTATTTTTACAAATGTTTTTAAGCTTTTGCTAAAATAGGGTAAATAAATTATTTAAGAAATCATGAAAGCTATTAAATTAATAAACACAATGATCTATCCAATGCCAGCCCAACATCCCTTACAGCATGTCTAGGCTTATTTTCTGCATATGCTGGTAACGCTCTCAGATTAATACTTACTAATTCATATCTGATTTACAGGGCTTAGCATAATTGTTAAAAAAAACCAAAAACAAACAAGTTTTTACTACTGATCCTGATAAACT